TGTGTGTGTGTGTGTGTGTGTGTGTGTATATGTATTTATACACATACATACATACATGTGTATATAGGGATGCACATCAAGTTATAAAGTCATAAAGGTTTTAAAGTTTTAAGGCCTATAAATAATTACATAATTATTCAATTTTAACACAAAACATTTTTTTGAAAACCTTTGTATTCTAATAAATAAAATTTTAACTGTTTATTAAGAACGATAAATAAGATCAATTTTCATTGAGCCCCTACAGTTTTTTTTTAAGTGCTCCTAAATTTTTCAATTTTTGAGGGGGGGGGATTAAACGTCAAAATCTGCAGAAACCCGAAAGCTGATGTCTAAATGTCCGAGTTGAAACGCCTGTTTTTTTTTTGTTTTTTTTTTACAGGAAAGCACAACACACTGTTGTAACGCTGAGCAGCAGAAATGATCCGGTGAATTGCTAGCTGTCATTCACGACCTGTTTTTGTCCCTTCGCAGGCATCTGCCGCAGAGGAGCGCATCCGCGAGCTGGAGAGCATGCTGTCCAGCGACCGGGACAAGTACCGCCGACAGCTGGACGCCAAGGAGCGCGAGATGGCCGAGCTGAGGGAGTGCATGCAGCAGCAGCTCAACGAGTACCAGGAGCTGCTGGACGTCAAACTGGCCCTGGACATGGAGATCAACGCCTACAGGAAGCTGCTGGAGGGCGAGGAGGACAGGTGAGCGTCTATAGCGCATGCTTGAGTCACTCAAGTCATGAACAAATGACAGGAATGCAGGCCAAGTGAGCTGCCAGGCTTTTAGCTTTTAAATAATGTCTGTAAGGCCCTATGATTTCTGCGATGCGGAATCCAGTCATTAAAAACAGAATTGAATGTATATTTAAATGTATACAAAATTTCCCTTTATTTTTTAAGGAATAATCACAAAACATTTCTTCCATGTTTTAATTTGAATAGCAAATCCTTGTTTGTCAAAAAATAGTTTAATTTTTCTGATAACCAGAAAAACTTAAATACACAACACACAAAATTCATAAGGCTATTGTAAGAATCAATTTGAATAAATTAAGTTGTTTTTATGCATTTAAATAATGTTAAAACAGAATTTGGTAACAAAACGTATGGTGAGAGCCCTAAACATGTAATTTTTGTTAAACTTGATGTGAAATTGTATAAGTTCCATGATTCTAATCAATTAGACATACTTTTTGATTAATAAAATTTAATTTAACCATTTAAAAAGTAGTCCAGAAAAATTAAAACGGAAAAAAAATGGAATTTGGGAAAAAAAGAAAGAAAAAAAAAAACTGATTTCATAGGGCCCTATGTCTGAAATTGCTGTCTAATTGGCTCGCTAGGCTTTGAAACGCATTCAAACAGGCCTGTGGCCAAAAGTGCTGCCTATTGAGAAAGCATATTGGGCATCAGACACATCGGAGCGCGTTTCTAATGTCTAAAATGCTTCAAAACCTAAGAGTGCTGTACCTTTTCTACAAATGGTGACTTGTTAGGCAGCTTGTTAGCTTTTGAAACACGTTTGAACACACAGATTACTAGGTTTGGACAAGCCTGCAGCAGAAAACGCCATCAAGGTAGGAAGCTCACTTGGTTTTGTGACGCATTCAAGCATTTAAGTCAGCGATGCACACAAACTAGGCGTTTTTGAGCATTTTGCATCTGCTGATGGAGTTCTGGCAGCTGGTTATTATCATCGTTCGTCTTCACGGACACCTGTGGTCCGTAACTTGTTCAGAAACGCTCGTCAAACTTCACATTTTTGCGCTTCATACTTGACACACTCGGCGTGCCGGAGGAGTAAGGTAGGTTGTAAAATGTCACGCTGGAATGATAACTGTGTGTCTCGCTCGTGCGCGAGCGAACCGATAGCGGCGTTGTCGAAAAACGAGAGGTCAGAGAGCTCATTTAGCACAAAGACTTGAAGACCAGCAGGCAGCTAGACCATCTTGAAGATTGGGACGAGTTAAAGATAGTCTGCAGTTGAGATATTTGGAGCACAGATGATAGGAAGGAAAGGTAAGACGACAGAGTAGTTGCATAAACAACCGTTTTCATGGTGCAGTTGCCCATTTATTGTTCTTGCTCACTTTTTGCTATCATAATACGCGATTTAACACGTGCGTCCCATCTCCTGCAGGCTGAAGTTGTCCCCCAGCCCGTCCTCACGGGTCACGGTGTCCCGCACCACAGCGAGCAGCACTTCTACGTCTTCACGTAGCACCCGCGCCAAGAGAAAGCGCGTGGAGCTGGAGGAAGCGTCCACCGCGGCTCCTAAAGTGCAGATCAGCCAGGAGGCCGAAGCCACGGGCAGCGTCAGTATCGAGGAGATTGACCTGGAGGGGAAATCGGTGACCCTCAGGAACAACTCTGACAAGGTACAAGGTCAATGGGGAGTCTTTGGGGAAAAATAAATACATCACTTTGCACAAGTTTCACTTTATGTTTTAAGGGGAAGACGCTACAGGTAAAAGCACAGTTTTCTCTCATGCGTTGGTCAGTTTTGAAATGTTGGCTTTTCATAAAGTGTTGTTTTCTGACTAGTGGAAAGAAAACGTCTAAAATACTCATTAAGTGTTATTGCAGTACATTTATTTTCTGCACTTCAGCATCACTTACACCAAACTTAAGTTTTATTTCTATCTATATACTAAAGGTTTTTTGTAGAGGGGTTTGTTCATATATCAGTCGCCTGATTTTATAACATTTTATTCCTACATTTCTATTTTTCTGGATTTTTGACAGTATTTTCTGATTTATGGAGTGACAAAAAGGAATCCATTTATGTTCTGGAAATATATGCATATTAGTGCAAACTTAATTAGATAATGCCTCATTTACATATTTAAACATAACATTTAAGAAAACATAATCAATCAACTGGGGAAGTATGGTATGGAAGCACGTTTCCGCCACTGAATTAAAAAAAAAAAAGGGTAATTGCGACTTATCTCATAATTCTGACTTTTTTTTTTCTTGCAATTGCCAGAGACCTCTGGCTTTTTTCTCATTTATGTGATATAAACTAGCAATTATAACTTTTTTTCACAGAATTACGAGATATAAACTCACAGTTGTGAGTTATAAAGTCAGAAATGTGAGAGATAAACTTGAAATTCTGACTTTTTTTTAATACCTCACAATTCTGGCTTTTTCACAGAATTGCTATTTTCTCAGAATTGTGATTCTGAAAGTCAAAATGCTGAGAGACGTAATTACCTTTTTATTTATTTATTTATTTATTGTTTATTCAATGGCAGAAACAGGCTTCCATAGTATTGTGATGTTTATTAGCTAATATTTTTACCATGTGGTGCCTTGCTTTACAAAAGAACAAAGGAAAAAAGTATTTCATCACATACAACATATATCATTTTTATTTATTTTTTATTCCATATTTAGGATCACTCTCTGGGCAGCTGGCGACTAAAGAGACAAATTGCCGATGGAGAGGAAATCACCTATAAATTCAGTCCCAAGTTTGTCCTGAAGGCCGGCCAGACGGTAACGGTAAGCGAACAGGACCGTATTTCATTTAAATCCATCTCAGTACGTTGACTAAATGTTAAAATGTTGGTTCTGTGAAAGGTGTGGAGCGCCGATGCCGGCGTGTCCCACAGTCCTCCTTCAGACCTGCTGTGGAAGAGCCAGAGCTCTTGGGGCACCGGAGAGAAGATCCTCACCTTACTGGTCAATTCCAGCGGAGAGGTATGAAGAATAAGAACATATGTGACCCGGGACCACAAAACCAGTCATAAGGGTCAATTTATGAAATTGAGATGTATGCATCATCCGAAAGCTGAATAAGTAAGCTTTCTATTGATGTTTGGTTTGTTAGGATGTGACAATATTTGGCTGAGATACAACTATTTGAAAACCTGGAATCTGAGGGTGCAAAAAAATCAAAATATTGAGAAAATCACCTTTAAAGTTGTCCAAATTAAGTTCTTAGCAATGCGTATTACTAATCAAAAATGAAGTTTTAGGTAGGAAATTTACAAAATATCTTCATGGAACATGATCTTTATTTAATATCCTAATGATTTTTGGCATAAAAGAAAAATGGATAATTTTGACCCATACAATGTATTGTTGGCTATTGCTACAAATATACCCCAGTGACTTAAGACTGCTTTTGTGCTCCAGGGTCACATGTTTCTGGCTTTTCCTTTGTTTTTGAATCCAATTATGAAGCGTGAACTTTGGTTTCCAGGACGTGGCAAAGCGAACCGTAACTAAAAGCGTGATAGAAATGGAGAACGGTGATGACGAGGAGGGAGACTTTGGAGACGAAGATCTCTTCCATCAGCAGGTTCGTTAAAGAAGATCTTAATGTAAAACAGCGATCTTGAGATGTTGAGTTATATCCTTAACCAAAATTCTCTTGTTTCCAGGGCGATCCAAAGACCCGATCCAGAGAATGTGCCGTCATGTGATGGAGCCGCGCACTTTTAGTATTTTCCTTCCCACGATTCAGTCTTTTTTGTAGAGCCACTACTTTTGTATTTTTCGAATCATGAGTTTATAACGCCCCTCCCTCGATCCATTATTTGTACGGACCTCATTTGTAAAGCCAGTTAATCTTGAGCTGCGATGCTATTTTTCAGTCGCCGCTTATCAATGAATAGTCTTTCCAGACGTCCCGTAGGAGTCGAAGCGCTTCAGAACGGCAGCGACATCCCATTACGTACCGTTGGCGAATGCCATCCGAGAATGAGTCAAAGGACCTGAAATTAGAGAGTATCTGTGCGAGCCGGTGACTAACGAATCTGCATATTCATGTCAATGAATCATGCATTTTCTCGTCACCGTGGGGTTATGAATGGGGGAATTATTTTTGTTCTGTAGTGCACTATAGCCCGTAACTGACAGCTGTCGCTTAGTGTACCTTATGTTTTTGTGCTTCGCCAACCAGATGAACAGGGTGGAAACGAAACTAGATTATTCTAAATGACCGTCTAAACGTCATGTGTTTTGATTCATGCTTTACATAGTGTTATGTATGTTTGAATCAGTGACTGAGACATTTGAGATCCCTGCTCAACCTAAATATATAACAAACACAAATGGTAACCAGAATAGTGCTTTCTGATGAGTACAATGTAAAAAGACTACTCAATTTAGTATTCAAAGGAGTTCAAGTTCATTTAAATATTCAAAACGTTTTCAGTTTATTCAAATATTCAGTTTGAATGTAGTGTTGAATGTTAAATTTGAGTGAATTTAGCTTGTGAAAAATGGTTGTTGAATTCTGCTTTGAAATTGGATCCGAATCGGCACACTCTTACAAAAGCACAGCTGCTCGTGCAGATTAACCAAAGAAATGGACGACGCATGAAACCAATTTGACTTGTCAAATTTTCCTTTGTTTCTTGCTTGCTTTGCGCAATTTGCAAACATGAGACTGAATAAACGAAAACCTTTATTTTAGTTGTCAAATCCAGCGAGTAATCTACATCCATCCACCCTGTCGATTCTGTTGCATTTAAGTTTTAAAACTCTTACTTTTTTTATTTGAAATGTTTCTCAGACAATTATGCATGCAGCAAATATTTTTATAAGAAACTGATCTGAGTGTTACTGTGAGCTCTAGGGTTGACGCTTCAATTTTTCAGACAAACTGCGTAATACTGTAGTTTGTTTTTTAGCTACAATCGTATATTTTTGAAAGTTTTTTTTCCTCAGGATTTTTAAAACCCTAGCGCACAAGAATCTTTAAATGCATTTAAAATTTACATTAAAGGTCTTATAAATTTGTGAATATATTCAGTGCTGTGTGTACAAAAAATTGACCTGGGAAACATTTTTATAATTTCTTTCTTTTGTAAGGTAATGCAGTGCAGAACTATTTTGTTATTTTAATGGGGTTATCATTATCTACATGTTTACTTTTTAGGGTTCTTTTGAAGGTTCTGCGAGAACGAATTGTTTGATAGTGTATCAATTGGGGCATACAGAATTGTGTAAAATTTAAGTGAAATTAAGCTCAAGTAAAGTTGTATTTGTGTACATTTGTTACTTGGCCTCTGAGCTAATAAAATCGACCTTTTTGTTTAGTTTTTAACATCATGTGACGTGAACGGAAACTGTTTTCTTTGCCAAACACTCCACATCTGTGAATTTTAAATTTAGCTTCTTTTAGTTACGTACACTGTTTTCAAGAGGAAGGTCATTTCCTTGTTCTTTCAGGTTTTATTAGACAGGGCTGTGACTTATGTAACGGATACAATGTGCTTTGGTGTATTTTAATAAGCTACGAAATTGTCAATCTGTCGTAATAATCTACTGTAAAGTAAAAATTGCTATTTGAACTACCATCAAAAGCATACAAATGTGAGTTTAAGGCTGTAAAATTGAGCCATAAATTGTGAATTATGAATCCAATTTGTTAGGGGGTAAATTGTACGAAGACTTTTGAAGGCATACAAGAGGAGAGCGCATGCCAAAAGTGTCTCATTAATTGTGATCAGTTTTACTTTGATTTGTCTTTTTTTGTATGCAATATCCAATAAATGTTTTACATATTAAGTTGTGCCATTGTCGAACTCTGAGTGACTCTGCGAAACACTGTTTGTAACATTGGCTCTAAAGTAAACGACTTTGTTTTGTTTTTTTAAGTTGGAGGTTGGTAGATTAATGCAATGAAACACTTGGCTGTGATTTTAACATGGTTAAAGGCTTTTAAGCACTTTGCTTAATGTGCCAAAGAATGCTCACTTTTTACACTAAAATTAACAGCCTAGGGTGGCTTATTTGGGTTTTTATTTATAAAACGTGTGGAAGAGCAGGTAAGTTTTCAAATTAGTGCTTAGAGGTGGCTTATTTGCCTATTTATTTTTATAATATGGAAGCAACGGCTAGAGGTGGCAATATCAGTTTTATACTATGTTTATACATGTATACATGCAAGGATCTATGTGTTGCAGTTATGAATAATTCAAGAGATTGCCATGTTTATTTTAAATACGCAGATACACCAACCACTGCCGTAGTTAAATTAAGGCATTGCAATATTATACCTTATACGGCATTATATCATACGTCCGAGGATCAATCAATATTTTTTTGATCAATCAAAAAAATTATTGTCGGTTGTCAATTTGTTGTGCATTACTGTTTGATCTGGTTACTCTTTACCCACAAGCCATTTCACCATTAGAGCGCACCACACTCCTAAAGTACATTTAAATATTCAAAACATTTTCAGTTTATTCAAATATTCAGTTTGAATGTAGTGTTGAATGTTACATTTGAATGAATTTAGCTTGTGAAAAATGGTTGTTGAATTCTGCTTTGAAATTGGACCCGAATCGGCACACTTTTACAAAAGCACAGCTGCTCGTGCAGATTAACCAAAGAAATGGACGACGCATGAAACCAATTTGAGTTGTCAAATTTTCCTTTGTTTCTTGCTTGCTTTGCGCAATTTGCTAACATGAGACTGAATAAACGAAAACCTTTTAGTTGTCGAATCCAGTGAGTAATCGGCATCCATCCACCCTGTCGATTCTGTTGCATTTAAGTTTTAAAACAGTTATTTATTTGAAATGTTTCTCAGACAATTATGCATGCAGCAAATATTTTTAAAAGAAAACTGATCTGAGTGTTACTGTGAGCTCTAGGGTCCGACGCTTCAGTTTTTCAGACAAACTGCGTAATACGAGCTGGTTACTCTTTACCCACAAGCCATTTCACCACTAGAGAGCACCACACTCCTAAAGTACATGTTTTCCAACGTTTGATCACTCAATTGATGACAGATGCGATATCTCTGGCTGTTTTTCTTTCCATTTTCACTCGGTGACCTCTATATGTTGGAGGCTGTGTTCAGCAACGCCTCTGAAAACTGTAATATTACATTCTTCACACAGCCAGCGCTAGAAAAGAGATCAACAGCTCGTCTTCAATGTTCCAGAAGAAAAGGGGTTTCAGTGCCGTGCGTGGTGTGTTTGTATCAGACCGCCCACGCGCACCTCAATTTCTGCTCTTGCTGCTGTCTCTCAGTCATTAGTGTGCCGTGCCACTGCCTGAAGTAGGAACCCGACCGTCTAGCCCTTTCTGTTGTGCCTGCAGTGAGGAAGGATCTTTCGTTCTCTCTTTCTTCCTCCCATCCACCCCCACCCAATCAAACAAATGCTGGCCATGGCTCCCACACACCCACTGTTTCAACACCCACACTGCGCTGATAGCCAGAGCGTGTTAAGTACTCCAGGGTTGGACATGTACCAGGCAACTCTAGCTCTTATCAGTAAACAATTTTTTTTCTTTGTGTGTATGTGTGTGTGTATATATATATATATATATATATATATATGTATATGTGTGTGTGCTTACATATTGTTGCTCTTTTGTTAGTTTTGACTGCTTTTATTGTCCTCATTTGTAAGTCGCTTTGGATAAAAGCGTCAGCTAAGTGACTAAATAAATAAAAATAATAAATAAATAAACAAAACAATGGGGGAGTGCGTACCATTGCTAGTTAGATGCCTAGAATTGACTATGCACTCTTAAAAATAAAGATTCCAAACTTGGTTTTCGAAGTGATGCCATAGAACAGGGGTCTTCTGGAGAGCTACATTCTTGCAGACCTCAAGATCCAACACACCTGCTTGTAATTATCAATTAACCTAGCTCTCCAGGAGCAGTATTGGAGACCCTTGCAATTGATGAACCATTTTGGGTTTCCAAAAGAACCTTTCAGTGAACAGTTCTTAAAAGAACAATTTTTTTCTTAGTGTGAAGAACATTTTAATAATCTAAAGCAGGGGTGCTCAATTCTGTTCCTGGAGATCTACCTTCCTGCAGAGTTCAGTTCCAACCCTGCTCCAAAACACCTGTCTGTAATCACCAAGTGCTCCTGGAAATCTTAGTGAGTTTGTCTTGTCGTGCTGTATCTTTCTTTTATAAATCTGATAAAACTAAAGACCCCTAGGAGATATGAGGGATGCAATACTAAGTACTTCAAGATTAACATGAGCTTGGCAGAAACTGTGTGTTTTATCCCCCCTTTAAGTACTATGCGTGTATACTTAGTACTATGTGGTGTTGCAAGGGTTAATACATAGTGGCACTGTGCTTGTTTTATTTGTGAGTGCGCGTCCAACGTCAAGTTACTTGTTAATGCCAGCTGAAGCAAAAGAACATCACAGCCTTTTTGTTGACTGCCAGTGTCTTGCTGCAAATTGCATCAAAAGTCCAGCTGAATGTTATTGTGTTGTGTCTTTGTCACATTCCTACAAATGTCCAGTTTGAACGCCCACCAACCAACTGACAGCACCCCCACTGCGAGTGAGAATGGGGTGTCTTTCACCTGCTGTTTACCATCAAAACAACACCGCGAAACACCCCTTCACAATCCCATTCATTATTCTACCCTCTCCCCCCTTTCATTTGGTGCTCTCTAACCTTCAGTGCTATTGACAAGTTACTGTTAATTATGTGTTCCCTCAATAAAGGTAATCTAATAGGTATTTTTAACACATTCATGCCATTTTGTATGCAGTAGGCTTTCAAATATCCGAGCTTTGCACTACGAAATGCCTCTCACAGATTGCATTTTGGTCCCAAAGGTCCAATTTCAGGCAGCCTATCTCTTAAAGGCTCAATATCAGAAAATAAGATCAGTTTCTTCTAAATCTAAATATGAACTTAAAATTGGGATCCGATAATCTCCAAAAAGAGGACTGGGAATTAATTTAGGACCATGAATCAAAATGCATTGGTTATTCAACCATTTGCACAGTACCAAGCCAAAACCATTTTAAAATTCACTGCAGCAGCACGGTGCTAAAAATAACTGGACTCCAGAGCATGGGGCGAATTGTGCCATTGTCACTGTGGACAGTTCTCCTGTTGAGAAAGTTTGCCGTGGACACGCAACACAACACTATGCTTTTTTCACCTGTTATCACAACATGCGGATACATGTCCTTGGAACTTGCTGCCATGCTAAGGACTCTTAAATGAATCCCCATAACCTAGATTCATATTTCCTTCATTTTCCTTGTATTCTCCGGCACGGCACTTAACCACGTTCCGCTCCATTGCACAGTAAATCCGACCTTGTCCTCTGTTAAGACAAGAAGTCTTCACCTTGTAGGCAGGAGTAAAGTCACAAGTTTTTCTACCTTGAGATAGAAAAACTCTCTCTGTATGACAGTGGAAGTTAGAGTTTGGGTCAGGC